CAACAACAACAACGCCGGCTTAAGAACAACAGGAACAGCAACAACAAGCACAACGATATCAATAGCAACAACACAGCAACAGTAAATAATGGTAATAATTGTAATCAGACAATAATAACAAAAACTCCATAGTACAATAATGATACAATAATACATAACCATGAAAGCATTAATAAGGCCAACAGCAACCGCAAGAAGAATAACAATAGTAACAACAACAACAACAACAACAACAACAACAACAACAACAACAACAACAACAACAACAACAACAACACCAGCAGCAACAACAACAACAGCAACCACAACCAAGACCAAGATAACGTCGGTTTTTCTCAGGACAACAAGCTAACGTAGGTTTTCGTCAGGAAATCGCGGGAAATTGTATTAAAGCCGTCCAAGATGTAAGGAAACCTGTCGTTTCCCTAGGACCTAGGAAAACCAAGGTAATGTACATTTTCTTTTGTGAGGAAAATCTAGGGGATATGGCACCAAACCCATCAAAAATGTGAGGGAACTAGTGTTTCCCTAGGAAAATCCACCCCGCTCCCTCCCTCCGTCCCTCCATCCCTCCCGCCCGTCCCCTCAGACCAAGCAAACGCACCAAAACAACATCAAATCACCAAGACAAACAACATAAATTCCTCATATAATTGTGCATCCTTTGTGTGATCAGTGGGCTCGGGGCTCGTCGTTCACGTCTTCTTTAAGACCACATCCAGCCAGACACACACCCAGGCGTTATAAACCCGAGGCGTTAAGGCATCAAGCAGCAAAGGTCCTCGAACCATCGAACTTCCTAGGTCCTTGCTCAGGCACTCAAGCCCTGGACCCCTGTCAGGTATAGTGGGCCCAATGCTCCTGGCCTGCGCGAGGCGCGTTGCAGGGATTTCGAGAAGGTCTGCTGTGGTTGGATGGGGTGCTCGCAGTGCCGTTTGTGAGGGCAGGGAGACGGGCAAGCTGGGCTCAGCTTCCCAGAGGCTTGAACTTTGGAACCAGTGCAAGTCTAGTCACGTCTCGCATCAGCGAGAGTATTGCAAGCTGACACCCCTCAAGCCGCAAGAGCATCATCCCCCTGTGATGGCTGCACTTGAAAGCCAAGGTTGCATCCTAATTCCTGAACCTCAGCCCTTGTGAAAAGAACTGCTTGAGCTGCAGCTGAAGCTAGACGTATGGGCACCTGCGACGACTTTGCCACTGGCATCTGTGGTCAATGTTTTGCCTGTGCAACTACATGCTGTTAGGGAAATACCTGCGGCTGTCCTGTTGCAACGGTTTGCTCGAGGCGACATCTGCAGATGCGGGTGTGAAGCTCACGCCTCCAAGATGCCAACATCTTGTGTCGGCTCACAAGAATCAGAATAGTCCTAAGACTTGTATCTATCATAGAACAGAGACCAACAGAAACTGTTTTCAACGACGCACGAAGCAGCAATCGGCAGTAGGTTCACTTCGGGCGCCGCTCCGTCTGGGTCTTTGCCTCCGCACGAGACCACACGGAGGAACTCGGAATGGTTACATGTTCTTTGCCTTCGGGTGTTGATCGGAAACGACGGAACCCTAAACCGCCCTAAACCCTTCCAACACCTCGTTGCTAATGGTTTTGCAGCGCCCTGGTCTTGTTCCTCCACATTCAACAGACAGAGACTCGTCTGTTCCTTCCTGCTCCTGAGATACTTTCAAACCTCGCGTGCCTCACGGTTTCAGGTCGATGTAAACGGAAGAGCTGTCTGAATTCACGCGATTTTGGGTTGATTCAAGATTGCATAGGGGTTTCTTCATGTGTGGGGGTGTTGGGTGCAACGCGTCCATGTGGCACTTGTGTCGTTTACTTTTCGGACCTTGGGCCTTGCGTTCTGGTTACGGAAGTGTCAGGCGAGATTCTGCAGAATGAGACTGCGGAATGCATGGCATGTGTGAGTTCCTCGTTCTGGTGCTCATCTTGGTGATGTAGCGGGCTTAGCCTACACTAACAATGCCCTTCGACCGCAAACTGTAATTTCGAAACCCCGGAGCCCAACGCGGGCACCAAATCGAGGAGCAAAGCAATGACACGTGACAGTAGTCTGCATTCTGAGTTTGCTTTTTGCAGCCTCAATTTTCGAGCCCTGCTCCCCCAAATGTTGAGCCCTAAAACCTTTCAGTTTTCACGCTAATACGAGGTGCGAAGTTCAACATCCTTGTCCTCGAAGACAGAAGCTTACAACGTCAAAACCCCAAAGCTATCAAAATCCTCGGAATCTAAAACGCCTTGACCCCTCCCAAGTCCAGGAGATTGTGGTGTTCCGAAAGGGCTCTGATGCACGGAGGAAGCCGGAACCCCAACCTTGTGATCCGAACTTTGGGGCCGTTTTCCTGGCTCGGGGGTCGACGTCTAGGGTGCCTTTTTGGGCTTTTGGCTTTCGTCTTCCCTGTTTTCGGGTTCAGGGTTTATTGTTTTTTTGGGGGATGTAGGCTTTAGGCTCCTCTGTTTTTCTGGGTTTAGGTTTTCCTCTGCTGACGCTAGTATATGCATGCTCAGGTGTATGCAAGGACATTCAATTATTCGGCGAACGACATGGATCCTTTGGTTAGAAACACCATTGCCTGATAAGGTTGTGTCAGTACCGAGCCACCACCCGAGGGATCACAACCCAACATCTTTAACCTTAAGGTTCAGGACCTGCGTGGATGCGATTTGGGCTTCGGGTCAAGGAAGACCCACCTGTGGGAGATTTCGGTTCAGGCTATCGGTATCGCCGGTATTTCGCGCAGTTTGGACTCCAACACAACCCCACACAAATATCGAGCTGTAGAGGTAGAGTCCAATATCCCAGGCTCTTAAGGAACTCTTCCTAGATCCAGAGCGACATGCTCTTGAACCCCTTTTGTCGCGTGGTCAGGTATGAAGACGGACCTTAGGCTGTAGAATGTTCGGGATGGTGGGTAGTCAGCATGGGGACTTGTCTGGATCTCTCAGTCGTACTTGTGCAGTGGCTCATCTTAGTCGCTGTTGCGTCACTGCGCCCGCCTCTCGAAGCCGTTCTGGTCTGTTGGAGCTTTATGGAGCTTTCACGGAAAGCGCACCTGTCAGGCTTCCGACACCCGAAGCATACAATGCTACACTCGAAGCCCTAAGCTAATTTGGCAATTGCATGAGCATTGACCCCACACGCTGAACCCCGAGCGGCGGCTGTTCAGATATCGGAGTCATTGCTTGCCGGGGGCGATGCTGCTTTGTTGTCAACGTCCCCGACAACCCCAGACCCTAAAGCACGCAACGAGTTTTGGATCTAGCATCGGCAGCAAGATGACGCGATTCGCGGCAACTGTGTTGCTTGGGTGGTTGTGCGCGCAACCCAGCTGAATTTAAACTTTGCACTTGTTGGCATGCCACGTGCTGCTCGAGGGACAGTAGATGAAGTAGGAACGTACTGGTTGCAGTTTTGAAGTACCCTTACGTGATTCAGTTGTACAAAATGTACAGCCTTGCTACACGCTGAACTCCTTTCGTGCTTGTTCCTACGGCCGGCTGTGGGGAAATTCGGTGACTTGCAATCCTTGACACACCTTTCTTGTGTCTGAACCCTGTGCCCTAAACCTGATGAGGTTCGTACTCCCAGGTGCCGCAAGGGTTGGGCTGCAAATCTGGAAGGAAACTTCGTGCCCATGCAAGGACTCCTCAGTACGGCTTGTGCAACAGACCGGGCCTCTATCTGGGACGATTATGTGCTGTTGTCGGCCTGACTCGTAGCTCGTGCCCGAAGTTAATAGGCCTGCTGAGCTTCTTCCACAGTTATTAGAGTAGTTTAACCGAGCACACTCTGGACGCTGAGAGCTTCTGGTCAGCCCCAATGCCCTAAGCTCTCGGAGTCTAAACCACAGCGAACACAATTTGTGGATTTCTGGGGGGGGGGGGGGGGGTTCCATGCAATATTAGAATCAAATTTTCCAAAGCCGATCTTTGCGGAACTTGTGTCAAAGCTACAGCAAAGCTCGGAAGCTAATCTATGGGGTTCTTGCTGAACCTTCGAATCAAGCATTCGGTTCTTGATTGTTTAGAGTTGCTCTGGTAATGGCCTCATCTATGGACTTAGGAGTTTTCGGTGCGGGAGGGCAGTGTTGGGGCACATGGTCGGTGCATGTAAAAGTGACAACAAGCTCGCGACGAAAGCTGATGCAAAGAGCACAATAACAGTGTTGGGGTGTACGGTTTTACTCGGTTTTTGTGTCGGTTATAGGTGATCCCCGGCCCTTATCTCCGAAAGCCTCCATCGCTATAGAAGCCCATAACTACCACAGCATAACTGTCCTGTCCTGGTGCCTTGGCTTAGGATTGCAGCGCCGCTTCCTGCGTGCAATGTGTCACTTCCTGCCAGGGACGTTTGCGACGATTTTTGCACTTTGGCCTCGAAAGTGTTGTGTTGGATTTCGAGATTTAGTGGCCAGATGTCGTTATAATTTGGATATGTTTTTTTGGTTTAAAATCCTTATACTGTCATGATTCATGATTGCTGTAAACCTTCCTGAGCTGCGAAAATATTGAGACTGCTTCATTTAGATTTCATCGACATGGTTTCTGCTCCTATCCGTGTGCGGCATCTTCGCCGCGGGTGATTTGAGATTGTGTGGTGCTTTGCTCGATCAGATCCAAGCTGTGGTTCCGGGAGTCGTATCTTGGTCATGTAATGGCTTCTCTACTTGAGAAGCCGTACAGCATAGACGGGTTTAGAGTTTGTCGCGAGCGGCCCCAACCCGTGGGACGTGGGCTTTGGGGTTCAAGCTGCGGTCCTGCGCGTACACCGGCTGAGAGAAGATTCCGGAACTTGAAAGACGACAGCATGATCTCTCTGCGAAGCTGGAGGACAGCTAGACCAGACGGCTAAGGGGGCAGATTGAGAGCTCGTTGAAAGCCTGAGCCATAAATCTGGGACCCTGAACACTGAAGGCCCTCGACTTCTCAGCCCAACTCAGCTTGAGGCTGTGAGTATTCAGGGTACATTCCTTCTTCCTGAAACCAG